GAGAGAGAGAGAGAGAGAGAGAGAGAGAATGTAGTCCTGGCTGTCCTGGAGCTCCCTATGTAGACCAGGCTGGCCCCAAGTTCAGAGATCCCCCTGCCCCTGCCTCCTGAGTGCTGGGATTGAAGGTGTGGGCCACCTTGTTCCCGATTTTGTTGTTCTTCCCCTCTCCTCCTCCCCCTCCTCCTCCAGCTATGTTCTCCTCTCTTCTACGTTTTACCCTCCATCCTCCTTCTTTCCCCCCGAGTTTAATTAGAGTGGTTTGCATGCATGCATCTTTGGCAGCTTGCTGGTGGCTACACTCCTGAAGAAGAATGATAGCCACCCCTCGGTAACCATCAACTGTCAACTTCTCCGCAGCGAGGAGTGGGACTTAGGGTGGCCTGCCCCATCCATGGTGGGGTGTTGATGGGCAGGTGACCACAGTAGCAATGAATTCATGAGTGTAATGGCCATTTTATGTCCAGAAGACCGGTTTTCACAGCACTTCTCCCCATCCTTCAGTTTTAAATTCTCTCTGCTTCCTTGATGCTCTCCGAGCCTCAGGAGTGGGGTGGGATGTCGCTGTCCCATTTAGGGCTGGACACTCAACAGTAGCTTGTTCCCAGCACTTTGACTAGTTATAAGGGTCTTAGATAACAGCTGCTCACAGCTAAAAGTTGTTTGTCTGGCCAAGGTTGAGAGTAACACTACTCTGTGGGTATAGACATAAGTGTTTTGAAGACAATTTGACAACATATCCATTAATCAAAACAATGGTCCTAAGGTCCCCCCGCTGTGGCCCATGATCTTCCCACTCATGTGATTTGATCAGGTTTACATCTCCAGGCATGAATTCTCCTGTGGAGCAGACTTCAAATCGAAGAACGTGTTTGGTTACTATCAAAACATTCACACCACTGTGGCATTAATCTGCATATCTTGCCCAGAAAGTCAGTACTGTAGCATTTAGGGTCTTACCCTCTCCTTCTGCTGGGAAACTAAGATCAATATGAACAGAGATTGTATTGTGTAGGGGCTTGTAGAGAATCCCTGACCCACAATCAGACATAGACATTATCCTGTGGGCAATGAAAGCAACTGTAAGTGTCTGAGGAGCAGAGGGATCCAGTTCATGGGCAGATCTGAGGCTCTGCTCTGTATTGTAAGGCCTACTCTTTTTTTTTCCTTTTATTTTATTTTACAATACCATTCAGTTCTACATATCAGGCACGGGTTCCCCTGTTCTCCCCCCTCCCCCCCCCTCCCCTTATCCCCAGGATGAAAATGAG